TTTTTTAACCATTATCGGGTGATTTGAGTCGAAATTCAAATCTCGGTTAGTATGAGTAGGTTTTCTATAGACCAAGGTTTCGAAATTGTCTAAATTTTTCTGAATTAGTATATCGAGAAAAGGAATTTGGTGATTTTGTTCTTTTTCAATAGTGAATTTAATTGTTGGTTCTTTATTACTCAGATAAGATAAAAATTCATCAAGTTTTTGTTCGCCATGGCTGTAAACGGAGAATACGTCATCAATATAACGCCACCAAATTATTGGTTTAAATTTGTAATTATTAATGAAAGTTGATTCAAAATTTTCCATAAATAAATTACTAAAAAATGGGGATAGTGGTGACCCCATACCCATTCCAAAATTTTGTTGATAAAAATTGCCATTGTATTAAAAGTAAGTTGACTTTACACATATTGTTAAAAGTTTTTTATATTATTACATTTTCTATAGAATGTTTTAGCTTCAGCACGAGCGTCTATTTTGAAAGTCGGCCCAAGAAGGTTTTCAGTTTCTCGTTTCTCTTCGTTTCCTTCCATTGTTTTGCATCATCTGCATACTGAAAATTCGCCATCAAATTCAAAAGATTCTGTAAATTTGCCTTCTCAATTTGATTCTTTTCTGGTAATTGTCATGGCTTTTATTATTTTGCCTCAGTTCCTGTCGAAATTTCAGTTTGACCGTCACTACTGTTACTAATATCGTCGCTTGATGCAGAAGAATCACTATTAGTGATTTGTTTTTTAACATTCTCCATTAAAGTTGGAAAGTAACAAACATTTTATGCTTGGATATTTAAGGCGCCTTAAAACAGATGAGATTGAAAATTTCTTGAGCATTTGCAGTAGAAAACCGTCCGATAGTAAAATGAGAGCACCGCAATAAAGAGTGACCGAAAGCAGGAAGGAACGAAATTTATAAGGAGAAACTTTGAACGAAAAGCGGAAAAATCGGCCTCAAGAAGCCGATATTTAATAAGATGATATAAAATCGGCGATTTGAATGCGGGCAATCTAATTGAAGAGAGATCGTGCACGGTTCACCTTGTACGTGAAACAACATCCTGCAGTGACCGAATAACAGCGAAACAAAGCCAAAAGGAAGAAAAAGAACGGACGGAGAAAAGCAAATGTCCGGCTGCAGTGTAGGAGGCAGCGACAGCATGTCTAATTAACGGTATTGAAAATTATCAGTATTAGAAAGTGCTGCTGCTGCTGCTGGTGCAACTTGCAGGATTTCAGTCGGCCGACTGACAGCGTATCGAATTTGAAGTGAATATTCCCATTTGGGTTCGGGTGAGCGAATAAATTTCGCCCCTTTGTACAACGGCCGCCAACTACCATCTCTAATTGAACCATCATTTTTATCGCACTTTCAATTATGCTGGTCGCACTCACAGTTGCGATGGGACCAAATAAATAGCACCAGATAGGGTACGACTGCGATAACGACCGGTACTAATGGACTGGTTGCTTTATGGTGACGTTTATAGTTTGTGAACACGATAAAAATTACTTACTTAGAAATCAAGCCCCTCTATCCGGTATAATTTCGTCCTTAGAGCCAGCCATAACTTAGCCGATTTTTCGCATTCATCACGCAATATTTGCTTAGGCCAAGTCTTCAATTTCAAATTATAGATTCGCCTGCCTTGCTACATGAGTTATGTGTGCTTTAGCTTGCCTATTAACAAAGTGGCAACCCAGTATTATATCGGTTGCATCTATCGATAATTCCGCCTTGAGATAGAGACGATGGTGGGTTATGTGCTGTTTATCCGCTGAGCAACTGAAGATCAACTTTGCCTTTGTTAATCGCATGGCTATGGCTCGGATGTTGTTTATTTCAGCCCCTATAATATCAATAGGAAACCGTTCGAAATTGACCACACATATTTTTGATTATCTACATTACTTCGTGTTTGATAAGAAAAATTATTTACACCTCACGTGAGTTTTCTGTACCTACTTATGCTAATTTAAATAAGTAACCAACACAAAAAATAAACTGCTCAGCAAAATCAATATTCCACAGCCCAATTTGCCCTAACTTTGGAAGTCGATAAATTCTGATTGCTTCGAGCGATTTGGTTTCTGTTGGAAGCCCTATGGAGCCATATTTGTTTTTGTCGACAATGTTTTTGGAAAAAATGAAGCACCTCATTCAAACTTTCTACGGGGCGGCAAATAAAAAATCGCAAAATCGCTCTCAGCAACCAAAATATATCCAGTTTGAAAAGTCTGCTTCAGTCTGCTTTGTTGAGCAGCTCAGTTAGCAACATAAATTTCAAGTGCTCTTGAATAGATAGAACATTTTAACAGGTTAAGGCAACATTCCAGTTGATCAAAAAATGAAGTCCTCCAGCTATAGGATAAAGGACGAACAAGCAAATTTGATTTTAAAAAAATCGACTGTTCATATGCGCTATAATGTTGCTGGTTTGAAAGCTGTTGAAACGGAGATTTTTCTTAATAGAGGCGGTTAAACCAAAGATACTTTATAAAAAAACCTGGTAGAAAATGACTAAGTACCTTACCGCACTAGTCAAACAATACTCAAGCGGGCTTATCGTCGATCTTGGCCAATTTATATTAATTAAAAGATCTTAATTGATCTTTATAATCCGCTCATCGGCGTGTCCGTATTAGTTACGGTGCAGAAAGCGACATGACAAAACAATATGGACGTGTGCCGTTGTAATATCTTTCAAGATCGTGATTACGTGCCATGATCCGAAGTCGAGAGTGATGTTGATCTTGATCAAACGTGCTTTTTTTCCAGCCATTATCAACAGTTTAAGTTGCACTGAATCGGACCGAATGGAGTTGTGCAAAGAGCGCAGCCCTCATTAAGCAAATATCAATTTGTGCAAGGCGGGTAGTGATTTCCATAAGACATGGCTACTTACGTATGGCGCAAGTGATCATTTTCCCAATGCGGTAGACGAAAAGATGCAACGCTTACTGCCAATTGCATAATATCGAATTTTAATGATGCCGTCACGACACCATAGAGGATATGATAGACTGTATAGGTCAAGCCGCAGACAGGCGACCAAACAAAGGATCAATTTTCTAGAAACAGAAATTCCGTCTCTAAACTCTCTACTACCGGTTTATCGGCAATGCGAAAAAAGAAACGAGCATGCTAGAAGGAATGTTTTAACATCATGTCACTGACAAAAGCTTATCTTCAATGCGACTACAAGGTACAAGTGACACGGTGACAGGCTTTTCATTAAATTACCTTGTCCAATGACTTAAATAAGACTGCAATTGATAAAGCGTTTTAGATAATGTATCCTTTAATTTGTTCGCATGTCTTATTAGAGAGTGAAATGAGCGCACTTTTATCTATGCCCGTAAACCAGACCCAGACGATCTTAACTAGCCGATTATTTAAAAATATCAATTTCTCCTGTTCTCTGTAACATTTCTCAAAATTCCCATTCCAATGTATTAGAGATACTATTTTTACAGTTTTACATTTCATGGTTCAACTACTACCTAAAATTTCTAGTAAAAACTCACCATCAGTTGAGGATCCCACATGCGATCCGCCGTCTCCTGAAAAACAAAACAGTAATAAGTAAAAACATCGACAACTCAAATGAATTGAGGAAAAATTAAAAAAAACTCACGGCAAATAAATTTGTATAGCTATTCATTGGATCCCGATCAGTTAATCGATTGCGTTGTGCTTAAAAATGCATAATTAACCCACTAGTATAATAGCAAACAATCCGTGATAATTGACTTAAATCCAATTTAAAATAAAATGAAGCTCGGTTAAAGGATTATTACAGACGAAATAAAAAAATCGTTTGTTTGCGCTGCGCTGATTAATGTTTTATTTATGTAAAACGTCACGGTTTGCCAAAAATGCCTAGTAATAGCCGCATTATTAATTATAGCAAATTTATTAAATTTAAATAAATTAGATTTTTAGCTCCACATTTTCTGGCGCCGATTTTATTAATTTCTTTCATTTCTAAGAACCGAATTGACCGGAACCGCACCAGCTACGTGCAAAAAGAACACATTTTTCTGCACTTTTCGAATCTACTTTATTCAACGAGCTTATTGAAAAACACGCTGAAAGCTTCAAGTCCGAAACAATCAACATAGTGCGCAGGTCTATAACAAGGATACAAAATATACTTAACTAAAAATATGGATAACCGAAAATTGGAGGCATTGAAGAGACTTGTTTTTCTTTGACTGCTTATGAGATTTTCCGTGAAAAATTAAACATTCCAATTTTTTTCCAGCTTAGTGGATTGTTCCCCACCTATGGAGCTCCTAATATTCGCAAAGAAGATAAGAAAGATATCGTTGGTTCAAGATTCTGACCGCCTAAAAACAGCTTAAATGATCCACAAATGTTGAGTATTTCCGATCTGAAGCTTCTATAGTGAACTAATTGCATTTCTCGCTTCCTTAAGACAAAAAATTATGGAAAGTTTGAGGCATTTTGAAAATCTTGATTTTTTCTTGAAAAAATCCACCCGCACCCCTTATGAAATTTTCGGTCAAAATTAAAATTTTCACATTCGTGTTTTTTCAGCTCAATGGGTTGTTCCCCAGTTAGGTTCTTCCGAGTTTTCACAAATAAAGTGTTTGTGTCTATGATAAGCAAGATATCGTTATTCAAAGATGCTGACCGCTTTCAAACATTTAAAATATTCCAAAGACTGTGATTATTTCGGATCTGAAACTCACATCGTAATTTTCCATGAGTTCATTGCATTCTCCGTTTCAGTAAGATGAAAATGATGTAGAATTCGATCAATTTTTCCAAGCAAATTGACCCCTTACGAAGTTTTCGGTCAAAAATCGAAACTTTACAGGCGTGTTTGCTGGGCAGAAGTGTTTGAGTCTATAATAAGGAGGATATCGTCCATTTAAAATCGGGGACACTCAAAAAACACTTAAAAAGACTGAAGCTTCCAGTATTTTTCAATTAGCTTATTGCATTCCTCGCTTCCTTCCACGGCATCATAAGAAATTTGGTTTTTTTTTTGGTCAAATATAAAAAATTCAGCATGTTTCTTCGGATCCATAAGAAGCTCCCCAATATGCAGATATCAGAGAATTATTAAATTATTACATACTAATGATTTTTCCATGTTTTTGAATCAAATGTTTTAACTAATTGCGTCCTTTTTGAATTTTTGTCAAATTTCCAAGCAAAGCAAATTTATGTTTGACGCAAAATATGTGATTTCCAACATTGATGTTAACAGAGAATAATGGCAAACAGCAAAAGCATAGCGAATCGGAGTACATTTACGAACTTTCTATATGTCAACGATATTTACAATTATAAGAGTTTTAACATCGAATTACATGTAGTTTGTTAGGCGGTTTTTCAAAATTATTAATTTAAGTTCCTCGTTCGCCCGAGCTTCGACAATAATTGAACCGGGTTTTTGCGTTCGGATCGTTGTATTAGAAAGCGACGCAATTAGAATTTTTGTGATTATGCAAAATCGAGTTGCGTCGAAAAAAACTAATGATTTTTCTCGATAAATAATACATTTTGCGGTTTGCTTTTCACCAATGTATAGATTGATGTGTGTATGCAACGAATCCGCCTTTTTACCGATTTATATTAGATCATTACGGGGCACATTCGAAACGCCAATAAATGGGAAATAAAGCAGGAATTTGTTGGTGACGAAGAAATCTCTAACGAATTCTCTGTTCTTTTTTTGGAAAAATTGCCTTGAATAAGAAAACTTAAGTACTGTGGCGATAAAAACTTATTACCTACCGGCTATTAATAGCGCCAGGAAAATATTCGAACCTGCTCGATGCATTTCAATTGCTAATGTGAACAATTTTTGTTAAACTAATCATCCTCATTTGTTAAGTGTCAGCTACTGAATTCTCGCCGCGTTATTTGAATACATTAAAAAAAACGATATCCTCAGGCCCCAAAGTGTCAGCAAGATATATACGAGATAATTATCGTGCTGAGCTTTATTTAATATCAAGAAAAACGACCGCTTAATATGTAGAATTCCAACAGAAAACCGAAAATTACTTTAATCATTCTGCACAATACGGCTCGTGGAAATTATGCAATAATAGCCGGCGATGAAACGAGATCAATCAATTATCGGTACCGAAATCCCATAAATTGTTTCGACAGCGGCTCCGCTCAAATTGCCCTCGTAATGCTTGGCTCTTAAAGCCAAACTTACAATTTTCCCCAGTTTATTACAGGGCGGCATATGTAGTGTACATTTCATGCAATATCGAATCGTTTTAGGTGGATGAAAAACTGTTTAAACGGGGCGAAAAATGAAACAACTTACGCTTCTTCTTGTGCTCCTGCTCCTGCTGGTGCATGGCGTTGGTGTGGTCCATCAACATGGAGTGCCCCAGGTGTCCTCCGTGACCCCCTGGTTGACACTCCATTGTAATCATACTACTATCTATGATTGAACTGCAAAAAACAGAAAAAGATTATTAAGACACAAAATAAAAACATTGCAGACTATGGGGAAAAGTGTGGTCCAGTCAAGTTAAATCAATGGCAAATAAGCAAAGAGCAAGAGGAAGTTGAAGATACACATTTTACTCTTTTCTATATTCACACTTACATAGATAGAATTGGAAAGCAAGATCGTCTATAGCTCAACGTTGGCCGATTTTACGATTATTATTACCATTTGGAACAGTTTTGCTAAAAACACTGGAATTGTGCCGGCATCGAACCAGGACCTCTGGAAATGTATCCATTTTCCTCAGGCCTTTGAAGAAATCACGATCGAAGCGAAAATATGCGGGAGAAATAGTTTTCCCAAAGGAGCGCGTCCTCAAAGCGAATAAATCCCATTCTAACACAATCTCGTATTCAAATGAGAGCTTGTCAATCACTTAAACTGTGATCGGCCGATCTTAACACAGTTGCCGTACAAGAAGTAGGTACGTGCTTCGCATCTCTAACGTTCACCGTTCGAACGTTTATTGAAATCATTATCGGCATTTTGAATATAAACATGAAGATCATCTACCAAAATGGTGCCAATAACGCCTCATTCACTCGAGATAAAAGAACATGCTCTGAACCAGTTTGCGGAATTGAATGTGGTTTAGGAGGCAACAATTTGAATTGCAATCGATTGGAGTGCAAACGCGAATTTGCAAAGTGTTTTGGGCTGAAATCGGACACTTTTGCTGTGTCTACAAATGAAAATAAAATTGCCAAAGGAACCCATGAATCAAACAAAAGATCCATGACACAAAAAACTGATGAGTAGGTACCCATCAGTGCCCCCTCTCCTTCGCCCCTGTTGTCAGATTGAGGGCCTACAAATGTCGAGCAGGCCGGAAATGAGCAAGGTTTTTTATCACAATTATGTCGGAATAAAAGTCGGGAAATGGGCGTACAAACAAATCAAAACTGGTTAAAAATACGCAAACGAACTGAACGTGTCGAATACAGTTCGTCTGGTCGACTGGTTTGCATAGTAATCATCGTCCGGCTTTTAAAATGTTATTGTTTATTTCTCACGGCGATTTTTGCTTTGGTTACCGAGAACTCCGTTACTGGAGGTTGATTTTTTCAGCAATTTCGTTAAAGCGAAAAACTGATTTGATTTGGTCTGGTGTTAACATTGATTATTGATCTTGATTGGCGAAGAAATGAACTGGGCAGTGGACGCTTTCTACAGATATATGGATTTTAAATGACTCTCAAAGTGCGTGCTCAAGTCCAAATGCTCCGAAATTTTCCAATTCCCCTTAGTATGGCCGTTTTACTATCGTTTCGACCATTATGACCGTAAATCCGAAAAAGCAATTACTATTAACGATCGCATCGAGATCATCTAAAAATGTCGCCGATAAAACTAGAATCGGAAATTCTGCGCGGAACGTTATTAAAATACCGGGTAATGTTCTCGGTAATAAGTAATTCCTAAGATACAGGTGCGCAGCTCTTATGTGAGAAACCTATCTGAAGGTGCTATGCGATATTAATCGCAAAAAGACCAAAGGGACTGATCGTGCTGCATTGCTGAGATATGACAAGGAGGGATACCATGCAATCCAACCAGCTTTCTTGCTGCTGAACTTGATCGAGCAGCTACAAGGAACTGGGCGAGTGTAGCTGGAAAATTTAATGCAGACCAAACTTGCTTGGACATGCCTGGATGCAGCAGCGCGGCAGAGCGAGTGACACGTTTTAACAGCGACCACCAAAACGCATTGAAGAACTTTGCAACAAATATTTCTTGCATGGTGCCACTTCCTAAAGTAACTCACCTCCGCCTCTTTTTTTTTCAATGTCCCAGATGAAATAACGATCCATTGACTCTATTAATCGCATCAATTACATCGAAAATAAAGAACAAAAAAGCGATTTGCCAGCACAAATTGCCAGTTCTTTTTGTCTCGATTTATCGGATTTCGTTCGAGGCTCTTGTACTTGTCCATAAGGTTGTAATTGGTGTAGGATAAGAGCAAATGCATTTTTCTCCTTCTATCAGGTTAGATACATACATATTGCCTGCATATATTGGGCATTCTGTTCCATATTTTATAACGAATGCCATTTGAATCGCAAACAAATGCTTATGCAACGAAAAACATCTTAATCGCAAGTAAGAGTCCGAAGTGCTCAGGAATAAATGCTTCTGAGCCACAATTTTAAATGTAGACTGAAGCTCTATGTAGGGGCGGATCCAGCTTTAAAGTCAGGCGGGGGGGGTTATGTATAAAAAATACAGTCTTCTGTTGTTTATGAAATTAGAAAAATGATCGTCGTTTTGTGCAAGAGTGGCGCAAGATTATTGCAAAATTTCATTTTTTCCGTCCCGTTTTACATGTTTCTCGGAAGCAAGAACGCTCGTTTTTACATCATTCCAGAGATAACTAAATGGCCTTTATTCGAAGTTTCTCAAGAACAATTCGAGCCACAGAATTCGTTTTAGCATCGTTGGATAGAGGCTT